CATATTTCAATAACTATGCGACAGTATGGTCAACAAAGTAATTTATTTTGCATAAAAAGTACAGGTTTTTATATTAGATATCTAACTCCACGGTATTATAAAATAAAATACAGTAATACTGCGCCAGGAGTATCCAGCAGAAGCATTACAATCAATAGATGAGTCCTTTTTACTGTACCTGTTACTTATAATAAGGTCCTTACCAACATCTGTAAAGAAATATCCCACTTTATGAGTAACCAGGATCGCTTACAGGAGATCTACAGTTTTCTCTACTATTAGAAACAATAAGGACCAGTTGGACCAGAATTGTATCCCAGGATTCTATAGTATCCCTATTAACAATTATAGGGTGAACTGCCACATTGGATATTGGAGCTATCGCAATATATTATGAATATATTGGAGCTGCCGCAATGGTCTAAAAATGAGGATCAAGGAGCATAAATACATGATTCAGAAAGGTCTATCTACTACTGCATTGGCCTCTTTCACCGTTGATAACCATGTCCAAGTTAAGTTTGATAATGCCCAATTACTACAATTTTGTGATGACCCTGACAATCTGAAATATCTTGAACAACTGGAAATATTTAAAGCATTTAGGAGGGGGACAGCAATTAATTTTAAAGAAATGGACTCATTAACAGCCGCATGGAGGGCGTGCTTTAACATACAATAGATCTTGGTCAAGTTTGGTTTTTATGTTTTATATAAACTTAGTGTTTTTAAAACTGGAAGCCAGTTTGAAATCTAATTTGTTAAATGCAACATTGAGCATGGACATTTTCACAACATGCAAACTTTTTAAAATTTTTGGAATTTACATTTTTTTTAACATTCCATTATGTCAAAACCTGAGGATGACTATTGAAAAAAGATGAAAAAGTTTGTTTAACAATTAGTTAAATCTAATTGCTTGCTGGTTTGTTGGTAATTGCATATTTTTTTTGATTGTATACCAGTAATATCATGGTGATTGTATGCTTATCACATAAGTTGTGTAAGAACTTTAGGGCTTATAATAGGTTGCAAAGTATGCTCAATATAGATTAGTAATATGTCATGGTACTTACATTACCTGATTGCACATTACTCATTAAACATTACTATTCAAGAAGCAGCAATGCTATTTCCTCACTAAAGGAATTACAGCATTTAAAGTCCTTGTGAAAAAGTCCTTTGATCATTACTAATCTCAAGAAAATTAATTTGAAAGTTTTCCTCAAAACAGAATCTGAAACCATGAAAGAGTCACAAATTGCTGAACTGGCAAAATCGGAAGTTGTGACTGCCTTAGTTGAACAGCAAATGAATTCTGAAGGCATCTGTAGTGTTCATGCCATATCATGGCAATTAGATATTCCCTACCTATAGTTCAAAATATTTTGTGACAAATGTTGCAGTTTTACCCTTATGGGGATATCTCAGTCATAAATTGCTTCCTGGCAACTATACTCTTTGGAAATCCTTTGCCATGTCATTCATAGCTCAAATGGTGATTGACAATTCATGGTATGGCAAGTTCTAAGGATTGATGAAGTCCATTTTTACTTGAATGGTGTGGTGAACACTCATAGTGATTATGTTTGGTCTTCGTAAATTAAAAACGAAAACAGCTCCTCGAAAGGATATAATTACCACTAAATTTACTAAACTTTTTCTGCCAGCGTGTAGGCAAGTTCTACTTGATCTTTACAACCATTTTTATAAAACATTTATTATTTTCTTACTGACTGTCTANTGTTAGGTATAACGTTCATCTGGAAACAGTCTTATTATTTTTTAAGAGTAATATGTACTTACTTTTCCTCTATAGTCATTTCATTTCTTGTTTTTACTAATATAAAGAATTTTTGTCCATTATATTTTGTTTGTCTATTATTTTCCTGTTATTTTTATGAATTATTTATACATCTAATAATTTCTAATTCTTTGTTAGCCCACTTAATATTTGTGTGTGAAATGTGCTTTTTTTCCTTTCTTCCCTCCTCTCTCCTTCTATATATGACTTCATTGAATAAAGTATAAGCATCTTCGAATTATCTGTTTTTTTTTATTCTTATTCATTTTTTCATAGTGCTTGGTTTTATGTTATGTGTAAATTCACTGTTAGTTCTTCTCTGAATAAATAAATTCACACTTACAATTGTAATGTTTACCAGGAGCATGGTTATCCTTCTAATTATTTTGGTTTTATGAATATTAAACATCTGCTTTCAACTATATTTTTTATTTCTATTTTCAATTTTATTCTTATGTGTGTTTCTTTATTTTTCCTTATCACTTTTTATGTACTGTACAAGTGGAAACTGTTATATTTATACATTACACCTGTATATACAAATTGGAAATATAATTGAAATCAAAATTCACTTATCTGAAATCAAATTTTTTCAAAGTTTTGTAATACTGAGTCAAATTATTCATTATAATTTTATTTAAATACAAGTGTAATGTAAAAATTTTTTTGTTTAAAATATATTTGTTTTATTTATTGGAACAATATAGTAGTAATTAATACTGTTATTGCTATTTTTGATGTACATATCTGTCTACATTGCTTCCTAAAGATCCTGTTTTGTCTAATAGTTCTCAATTATTTTGTTAAAATCTCATATTATTGATTCTTTTATAAAATAGAGCATGATTGACTGCAAATTCTAGAAAAAAATTATGGAATGTAATATTTGTTGAGTAAAATAAAGATAAAGATTCAGGAGAGTTTTGAGAATCATTTTTATATTGTTCATGACAGAATGAAGGCATTACAAAAAGTTGTTTGTCTCATATAAGGAACATTTTGAATAAACTGAAAATAAACTTTAATTGGATCTTGTTAATCACAAAAATGACTTTGAAAAAATTTTTCTATGTGCAGTTTGATATAGTTTCAAGTTAGATCATCTCATTCATAAAACAAATCTACTAATGATTTGCATAAGTAAATTGCATGATTTTAAGAATAGCATTATACAGGATGTCTATAAAGTCTCTTTACAACTTAAAAAATTTATTTCAAAGGCAATTGATAAGATATTTTAATCAGACTTATTCTATTGTACTCAGTGGTTTTCAAAGTTTTTAATCACATTGCATTATGTGTAATCAAATTTTTGGTTTATTTTTCTTCCACGAGAGATCAATTAATGCATATGTGTTGACCTTGACCTTTTGACTGAATATGTGGCCCCACAACTGCAGGACCTTGAACCGAACATCATGTTCCAGCAGGGTGGTGCCCCACCAGATTGGGGACTGCATGTTCATGACTTCCTTGATCAAACATTTCAAGACCATTGGATTGGAAGTGATGGACCAATTTTATGGCCACCACATTCACCAGATATCACACCTCTGTATTTCTTTTTATGGGACTTTGTTAGATATCATGTATTGAAAAAAGATAACAGATGCAATAGCAACCATTGATGAGGCTATGCTACAGTGAATATGGTGAGAAGTCGAATACTGTCTTGATGTGCTTCATGCGACTAATGGTGCCCATATAGAGGTGTATTAAATGAGGTAGAAAAATTTTGAAAACCATTGAGTACAATAGAACAAGTTTGATTAAGATATCTTATCAATTGCCTTTGCATTAAATTTTTTAAGTTGTAAAGAGACTTTATGAACACTGTATATTACAGTATAATGACACTATTGTATATATAGTAGTTTAGTCTTCCTTCATAACTATCATTATCATAAAGTCAGAAGTTCATGAATAAATTATCATTTACATATTTAAAATCCAGTGAAAATTTTTGTCATATTTTGAATCTTAAAATCTAATAAGAAAATTGGAAAACAATTTATTTTAAATGCAGTTAAACTTCATTTTATAATGTTGTCTTTATAAAATTTGTTTATTTTCTAGTATAACTTGAAATCTGTTTGAATATTTTATTTTGTGAAGTTTGTTGACAAGTCAGACTATTGTCTTAATTTCTTTCTATTACTATATTATTTTACTGTAAACAATAATAATTTGTAATTGAAATAGATGCACATGAACTATTTTCTAGTTTTTATGTCAATGTTCTTTATTTTAGTTTCAGAACTGTTGCTTAATCTGTAGGAATTATTCTCAACTTGTAGTATGCAGAACTGAGATTCCATTGTATACATAAATTTTCTCAACAGTGACATTGGAAATAGTCATCAACTTTACAAGCACTATGGATCTCTTTAGGAAATAATGGTATCATATGTTCTGTGAATTGTATGTCAATCCAATGTTGTTATATACCATTCTGTTAGGTATAACGTTCATCTGGAAACAGTCTTATTATTTTTTAAGAGTAATATGTACTTACTTTTCCTCTATAGTCATTTCATTTCTTGTTTTTACTAATATAAAGAATTTTTGTCCATTATATTTTGTTTGTCTATTATTTTCCTGTTATTTTTATGAATTATTTATACATCTAATAATTTCTAATTCTTTGTTAGCCCACTTAATATTTGTGTGTGAAATGTGCTTTTTTTCCTTTCTTCCCTCCTCTCTCCTTCTATATATGACTTCATTGAATAAAGTATAAGCATCTTCGAATTATCTGTTTTTTTTTATTCTTATTCATTTTTTCATAGTGCTTGGTTTTATGTTATGTGTAAATTCACTGTTAGTTCTTCTCTGAATAAATAAATTCACACTTACAATTGTAATGTTTACCAGGAGCATGGTTATCCTTCTAATTATTTTGGTTTTATGAATATTAAACATCTGCTTTCAACTATATTTTTTATTTCTATTTTCAATTTTATTCTTGTGTGTGTTTCTTTATTTTTCCTTATCACTTTTTATGTACTGTACAAGTGGAAACTGTTATATTTATACATTACACCTGTATATACAAATTGGAAATATAATTGAAATCAAAATTCACTTATCTGAAATCAAATTTTTTCAAAGTTTTGTAATACTGTTATGTTGTGATATCTGATTTTATATATATATTTATACTTAGTAGATGTATTTTTTATTTTTTTTTTTCCAGACTGATATTGAAATTCGTGAAAATACTGATGATGCATTATGGTTATTAATTCCTAGTAATGAGGTAAGAGAGATATTTTGTGTAATAAGATCGTGAATATAATTAAAGTTTATTATATTACATATCTGTTTAAAAATTAAAACATTTTTCTTAATTTTAAAATAAATATCTGTTTGACTTATTTTATAAATTATACTATTTAAACTAAATAACAAATCTTTACCCTATAAATTCCAAAAAAATACTTTTTTAAACATTTTTGAGTCTCTTTATCAGAATCTAGAATTAAAAATTTTTGCAAGAAAATTAAAGGTTTGATTCAAGGTGAACAAAATTCCACAAATACAAAATGTTTATGAAGCAATTAACAACACAGAAAGACTATATAGCTTTAATCATCTATTTAATTAAGAGAAGAAAGGATTAATACTTAGAGAAATTCTATAATTTTAATTTGTTTTTAGAAGTTTATTTAGTAATTTTAGTACAAATTTTATTAATTTTAGTACAATTATGTAGTTATTTTAATCTTTGAAATTTAAATGAACATTTAAATTCAGATTTATAGATATAACTATAGTAAATCAACATGTAGTAGTAGTAAATTTTCACATCTTAAGGTTAATATTTAAATATTTTCTTAAAAGAAAAATTTTACATTTCTTATTATGAGCTTTGTATTTGCTTTTGATATGTGAATTGAATGTTCTGTTGTTTCTCAATTAAGAATACTTGAGAATGAGGTAAAGCACACATGAGCAACCTTTCTATAGTAATGAACCATATTACACTGTTCTAATGAGAGCTTGGATTGAAACACAAAATATGTAGAATATATTTACATATAATCAAATTTTAAGATTCAGAATATATCAGCATTTTAATTTTCTTAATTATTTCTAAATATAATATTACATGTGATCAAGATTAAGATTGAAAATGTCTAAAAATGTTATTAAGATGATTTTGTTACTGGATAATTAAGGTGTTGATATATTTTGTAGGATAATCTAGTTTAACACTCACTTATTCTATATGTAAGATTATAATATAAATAATACATTTATATAATTTTTATTCATTTAAAATTTTAGACAAAGAAAATGTGTGTGTTTTTTTGTGTGTATATATAATATATGTATATGAGCTTAATTTTAGTGAGAATTTTGGCATTGCTCATTTTTACCAGTTTTTCAATATTTCAGAAATCATAGCTGCAGCTTGAGTAATTCAACTTATTAATTATAATTGGCTGTTTCCTCACATAGCCAACTCTAATAATTTGTAAAGAAAATGTGAATACTATAAATAATTGATATTCAGATGTATTGATTATAATCTTACAACTTTTGTTTACTAGAAACATGGACTTATAAATTACTTATGACATATCAAAATCCTTAATTGTAATTATATGTATTATAGAAAAAAAATCACTGAGAGTTGCAGGTTGTCCATAGCTGGAATAATGCATATGAAAAACATTACTGATTTATAAGTTTTTGAAAGTTTTGGACTTCTAAATAGTAAAAGTAATTTTAGTTCCAAATATGTAAAGTTGTTGAATATTTGAGACTGCTTTATTAGAATAAATTCTTTAATTAAATTGCTTTAATATAAATTGATTGCTTCTTTAATCAGAGTCACAAAATAACAAATGAGAAATAATCAATCTGATGCAAAATTGATGAAAGATTATAATGCAATAAAAACTTGAATATTGTTGAAATGTTAATCTTTTTATTCACAAATGAAGATTTGAACTGCTAAATTAGTTATGGTTTTATTAATATTAAATTAAATAATGGTGTTTTTATGTTAAGTATAATATACCATATTTACTTGAATATAAGATGCACTTTTTTTAGGTTTTAGTATTTTTGAAAATAGGTTGCATATTAGACTTGATGTAATACAGTATGTCATAATTAGCAACCTCTGGTAGCATGTATCATATTTTTGTCACTAATTCTATGATGCCATTTTAATGATTTTATTCAACAATATTTGTAATAGAAAATATTTTAAAAGTAACTTAGCTGTTTTGTTAGTCTATTACAGTAATGTTGTAAGTACTTGGATGTAAATCCCACAAGAAGTGATTCAGTGCTTTTTCAATAAATGTTGCATTTCTGATACTTTAAATAGCACTGAGTATGATTTCATGTGAATATCTATTCCAGTGTTGATTAGTATTAAATGATTAGTTTGAGTTTGTAAACTAAAACTACATATATCAATATATAATAACTAAAGCTATTACTTAGGAACATTACTAAAACAATATTAATATTGATTCAGAAGAGCCTAACACAGCAAGTGGAGAGGTTTCTGATTTGAATACCATGGACGACAGATATATATATATAACTCTATAATTCTTACTTTACTTGCAATAAATACTGAACATTTCTGTTGACATAAATTTGTCTCAAGTTGTCTATTTAAAAAAAAAAATCTATGGGTGAGCACATAGAAATTAAGACATGTCTTAGATTTGAATGAATATGGTAATAATTATCTTTAGTATTTTTTGTTAAATATAGTACTGGGTTGAATGAAAAGTTTTTCCATTTTTTGGGAAAAAATTTAGAGAGAATTTTTATAAAATAAAAATTGTTTAACTATTATTTATAATTAGTTAATAGGCTAACTTATTTGCCTTTCTTCCAGACTTATCAAATTAATCTTATAAGGTAGTTGGTTTGATAAGTGTGAAGGTTAAAGCTAATCTTTTAACTAATGAAAACCCAGACAAGAAGTGACAATCCTGAAAAAATTATTTAGTCTATCGAAAATGTAATTGCCTTCATTTGCAGTTACTTTCCACAAGTTTGTTGGTTTCATGTGCATAAAAGTGTTTTTATTTTCACTCAAAAAAGATTGTACATCATATTTCACTTCTTAAAAACTTTAAAAATTTTTTATTTAAATGTTTTTAAAGATCTGAATAAGTTGAAATTGGAAGATGCTAAGTTGGTGAATGGAACAGATAATTTAAAATTTTTTCATTTGATTTTTTTTATATTTTGTTGCATCAACAAACTGACATGAAGGTGTGTGTTATTTTGATGAAAGACAATTCTTTTCTGGTTGACCAGATATGGATATTTTTGTTTAAGACATTTGTTTACTCAATGTAATTGTTGTCAGCAATTATCAGAACTTATTACTTTATTGCGCTCTAAAAGCTCATAAATTATGCCATCCATATCTAACATATACAACACAGTAATCTTTTGAAATGTATGGTTCTTTTTAGAGCTGAAACCACATGCTGTCCTTATTTGCAGTATTGCTTTTTTTCCAAATAACATTTTCAAAAACATTTTTACTGTTTGTGGCAGTGGTATTTTTCAAAAGTTATAAAGCATAACATGTTATTTATATATATCATCTATTAACATTGAATAAAATCAAGAACCAATGCTAAAAATGAAAATTAAATGTTTAATGATGTGCTATTACATATCAGGAAAAATTTGTTAAATATCATAATAGCTTTAATCAAATCACACTAGTTATTTCTATAGTGAAGTCTACTGAAAAACATGATTTTAATTTTCCATTTAACCTAGTAATAACTATTAAAATACAATCAAATAAATTATATTAATGAATAATAAAATTTTTTTATATAAGTGCAAGTCCTTTTGGCCAAAAGATGCTAAAAAGACAGAAATGATAGCCCGTTATGCCAAAACTACTGATGAAACTATTCCATTTACTTTTAAGAAACAACATACTACTCTTCTTAAGTGCAGTGGTTCAGTAAGTAGTTCTTATAAAACAATTATGTGGCATATTTTTTTCCTTAAAAAATTTTTATTGCCAATTTATATTTTTACAAGTATATATTTTCTTTAGCTTTTTCTAAATATTTATTTTTTTAACTAAACAGAAAGGTGGTTTAAATGTAGATGTGCAGGTAGCAGAAGCATCTATCATCCTAACATTTGATGATTATCATCCAGGTTATGCAGCTGTTCTTTTAGTAAATAATTTAGAAAAGTTTCCAGTAATATATCATCAAGTGTATGTATATTATTTTAATTTTTTTTTATCATTATCCTTATTTACAAAATTACTATTTTTATGCTGTATAGTGTTGTAAGTTATAAATTTAGTAAATAATATTTAATTAATTAGCATAATTATGACATATTACAAATTATAAAAATTTTTACATAAAAATACAACTAATCTTTGATTTATATTATTTTAATTGCACAATTTGAATTTAAATGTGGTCAGAAAATTGCAAACAAATTTCATTTTACCTGATAGTTTCAGTTTAACACAGTTCTTAAAATATTCTTTAGTATTTCATTTTAAGATTAAGTATTTTCACTAATAAATTAATGTTTGTCTTTTTTATTTTTTTTAACTTTTAAGATGTTCTAGGATTCTACCTCTATTTTCAACTTATATATTTAAAAAGAATGTTATTCCTTATTTTGTGTTAGATCTCAGTGTTACACTAGTATGCATTAAACTTATTTCAATATCAGAAAATTTATAAAAAATTAAATAGAAATAAAAAAATAAGTTTTGATGATGATTTTTTATTGAGGTAAGACCATAAACTTTTTTAGTAAGCTATTGTAATTAGAAAAAAAAAAGAAACTGGGATTGAAGCTTATAATAGAAGTGACAAGATTTTCTACTAACAAACTGAAATATCAATAAGCAAAGAAGATATATTGTGCAATTTCATTTAGTTCATCTTAAAATAGTTTAGGTTTCAAAGTGTAATTTTTTATTATTCTATGTCCTACATAAATGTTATTCTTGATTTTACATGGTTTCAATAAAAACTAACACATTAAATTGACTGTCTTTTGGCATTCAACCATTTGATGATTTATTATCGTCATTGTAATATTGTTCTGACAAAGATGATACTACACCATCAAAAGTGCTTGCATGTATATTTTTATCAAATAACTTTCTGCAATTAGTCTTGTGGTTTTTCTTACAATTTTCATTCAGTTTTTGAATTATCTTGTTTCATTTTGTTATTAAATCAAGATCTTCATAGATAACTTTGTTGGTTGTCAGTTGTGAAATATTTAGATTATTTTCTGAGATAATGGAATTGATTCTTGGTTGCTACTAGCTTCTTTTGCCACTAGCTGTCTTAATTTGTCTTATTTTATCTTTGCAACATTATAAATTCACTTATTGGAAACCATTTTTGGTAACTATTTCCCTTCCCTTTATTTCATTTTGATGTCTTGTGGACCAAAACTTTAATTGAAAAATGATTTTATTAGGATTTGTTTCAGTCTGGATAACTTTTCGCCTCTTCAAATTAAATTTTTAAAATAACAACAAGTGAAACAGGAAAAGATAGTGAATGCTGTCTCACACATGTTCTAATTTTGAAAATTTAAACTCTGCCTTTACATTTCAGTAAATAATTCAATCACCTTTGGTATAGATGATAATATTTCATTTGCCATAATTATTTCAGAATGATTTTATTTGATTTACACCCAATAAGGATTGTAACAATCATTAGTAATATGTATTTTTAACAGTTTAAATCAGTCATGAGCAACCCATGCTTCATGGCCCACAAGGTTTTAATATGAAACCCCCTGGGCTTCAGCCATGTAATTTTATTTTCCTGTTTTCTTGCCTCATGTCGTTATCCAACCCTAATTAAGCTGATATTTGTGATAAAGAGCATTAAAAAGACTTGACTAGTGAAAAGATGAGAATAAACTATATATTACTAACTTGCATATAATTAACAAATATTATTCTAGTACCTAATGTACTGGCAGTTACAAGAGTCTCTTGGTATATAACTGGCTTAAAACCTGCAACTCTAAGAAAAAATGCATGTGACTCACTGAAAGCCTACAAAGTTTGTTTGCAGCCCACATCTAGAAAAGTTGCTCATCACTGATTTAAATTATAATATCAACTTTTTACATATTTGTTTTAATATAAAATCTATAATAATTTTTTTAATACAGTGGGAAAACAGAAAAAGCTTTAAAATGTAAACAAGCAGTTTTATATACATGGGAAGATCCCTGCACAGAGAGAGAATTTAGTATCAATATTGGAAAGAAATCTAGCAAGATAAATTTAGCTAAGGTAATAAAACTTGTGTTTAATCATTATGAAGTTTCTATTTTAAACATTAGTAAAACTAATGCTCTGACCTTAAATTCATTCAAAGAATATAAAAATGCACTTCATAGTAAAGATGCTAGTTCTGTTATGGTGTGACAGACAGAATTGCTTGCACTTCAGTAAAAAAAATTTACAGATATGTTACTTAATAATTTACTATAAACTTTAATGTTGATTTACTATCATTGCATAGATTTTAAGTTATTTTAAATACTGAATTACAATGAATATTAAAGTAGTTCTATCAGATTCTGTATATGCTCTTATTTTTTATATTATTTTATTTTAGTTCTAATTATATTTATATAAGTANCTAGACTATTCTATACAATATTATGTCTATTCTAATCAATCAGTTTAGTTTATCAATTAGAGTGGGGTGTACATTCCTTTAAATAAGCTTTTTGTTATTATTAGGGAAGGTACTTACAAACTAAAGATATATATGAACAAAAATTGACTATCAATAAATCAAATAAAAGTTCAGGCCAATGAAGTAATCACTCAAAGAAAATCAAGTAGGGATTAAAATCGAGGTATGATGAATGTGCAATAGCAGACATAATTATATATATATATATTACTAATATAAAAGCTGTTGTTTGTGTGTGTGAATTACTTATAACTCCTATAATTTTTGTCTAATCTAGATAAAATTTTGGTTATATTTGTTTTATGTTCTGACAGAAAATATAGGCTACTTATTTTGTGGAAATATTAGACCTTTCATAGAATTTATCGATTTCAGATCAGGGATCGCACTTACATTGCAATGATGTCAGTGACCACGTGACATTCATGATTGACAAGGAAATTTCCCTTAAATTGTATTTTTACATATTTTAGCAAATGGCATATTTTAAACTTATTTCATTAAATTTAAACTTTAAAAAAGATAGCTGCTTCGTGTCACTTCTGTAACAAATTTTTTTAAAAACTTTCCATAATGACCATATGACATTCTATTATCCACTCTGAAGTAACAATTTAATGAGCCCTTTATTTAGAAAGTGTTATTACTTATCTAATTAATGTACATACAATTCATCTTTGTATTATCAACATGGAATTAAAAAGACACTCTATTTTGTTGGAGGGAATGCTAGGTGAAAGCATAAGAGTAAAATTGGTCAGGTAAGTTCTAGATTTAAAAGAATAAGAACAACTGAGACCCCTGAAGGACATGAAGTCTGACTTAGGCAACATTGAGTAATAATGGCTTTGTCTAGGGCTGCAGAAACAGCATCACAAGTGTGAGATTAGCCGGGGGTACAACTACGCTAAGGATCGTTAGTACCACTTAATCGGCCTATTCTGTGAGAATAGTTCTCCGAGTTTTGGATCTCTAGATCCGATCTTAAAAGTTTTATATAGGAGAGCGTAAATAAAAATGATCTGAACGGCGAAGTTCAGATGCTCGTCAGTATTCCTTGACACCAGTTAATCGATCTTATTATACACGGATTAACACGCGTTTGCGATCTGATTCGGAATAAATTTGAAGGGACATTTTAGTAAAATAAACAAGAGTAAATTTAATAAATCTAAACAAAACGAATACAAATAATCGATGAACGACAATGAAGCGACAAGCTATAGGCTAAAACCTATTCTATGTTAATGCGCGATCGAGAGAGAGAGCTCACAAAATCATTCCAAAACATACGACCTGTTTAGTTGTCGTCGTCTTCGTTTCTGTAGGTAAAGGACACCTTGTAGACAGAGTTCATATTACTTTCGTACGGGAGATCAATACGTGCACAAAATATAAAAGTATCACTTCTACGTGTAGACTCGGGACTTAGTCTATGGGACTCCGTTAAGGGCGTTGGCCATCAGGAGGAAAACTGCGTGGAGTTTAGATGCTTCGGATCTGTCGAAGAACTCCCCGAATTCGGACTAATTCCCTTATATCTCCTGAATTTCGACCAAAACTCTTTCGTGAGAACGGACGAAAGGGGGATGAATGAGGGGTAACCATTTCCCATCTGAGCGAGATTTTTAACCAGATACGGGAAAAACAGAGGATGTTCTCTTCTGTGGAAGGAAATAACATCTGTTATCTGGTTTTTCCCACGTCTAAAACACTAGTTTTTCCAAAAAACGAAATAATATTTTGTGTCAATATTTTTCCATTATTAATTAAAATTATTAAATTAGGCCCAGGGCCTTTCGGATCTCACATTACTCCCTTATCTTCAAAAATCACACTACATTTAAAGAAGGCGTGATTTTTCACTGCAATACATAAGTTCGAATTGCTCTCTCTCTCTCTCTAAAAATTGCGTTATACATAATAATAAAATCATAAAAGTTTACAATAACTCAGATTAAATTCAAAATTGAAATACATGGAAATAATATAATAAACAATTCATCAGATTAATAATATTACTGAAATAAACACAATGAACACAGGTCTTCGTCTGGAATTGACGGTAAAAGTGGACATAGTTCGTCACTGGTTTCGAATGTATCTCTCCTTTCGCTGAGAGTCTCTATGGCAGCACTTCTATTGGCTGACTTCGTATAATTGCAAAAATTTCAGGTATCTTAGAAGATCATGTGATGTCTTCTTGTTTCAAAAACACCTGCTAACAGTTCAAAGTTCACTTTGCAGTTCAAAATGATATAATGTGTCTTCTTCCTGTATGTTGACACACTTCGTTTTCTGCTAAAATTTCATTTAACATAACCACAAAAGTTCAGATGGTTGAGTTCATTAAAGGTTGTATGACTCCAGGGTCATTGAAATCCATTTTGGGCAAAGTTCTTTTTCATCAAAGTATTGTCCATTTTAAAGGTAGTATGTTTAACAAATACATATCTCTATTAAAGTCTCTCTCTCTCTCTAAAGACTACACTAAGTCTTATATCTAGACTATTCTATACAATATTATGTCTATTCTAATCAATCAGTTTAGTTTATCAATTAGAGTGGGGTGTACATTCCTTTAAATAAGCTTTTTGTTATTATTAGGGAAGGTACTTACAAACTAAAGATATATATGAACAAAAATTGACTATCAATAAATCAAATAAAAGTTCAGGCCAATGAAGTAATCACTCAAAGAAAATCAAGTAGGGATTAAAATCGAGGTGCTCGAACAAAGTGCTTCCTTGTCTGTGTTGAGCTTGAAGCTTGTTCAGTTGAGCTTCCAACAGGTTCGACTATTTCCTGTTCTTCTTCTTCTGTATTATTTCTTTGAGGAATTTCTTGAAGTGGAGTGTCTTGTTGTGACATTTTCTTTATCCTCTTTTCTAATCTTCGTGTCCAACAAATATGCTTGACTATATAATATGTGCAGATAAGTAGAATTAATATTCCTATACTTCCAAGGATAATCCATATGTATGTGATTGGAATTGTTGGAGTGTTTGATATTGAAAGATCTTCATTTTCTTTCAATAATCTATCCAAATCTTTCTTCATTTGCTCATATGATTTTTCTGCTACCTTAATGTCGTCATCTTTTTGTTTCTTAGAATTCTCTTTATTCGCCTCAGGATTCTCTGTAGAATTTATATTCTCTTGCAATTTCTCTAATTCTATCTTGGAAAATATTGTTTCAATTGGAGGTATAATAAACTTAGGACTGCTTCCTGTGTGAACAGTTGATCTCATGTGAAAATGTGAAGTGAGGATAATTCCAGGTAAGTATCCTATACATGTATTTGGCAATCTTATGATTCCAACATTATTCAATTTACTTATTCTAGAAGGTGATGAATGCAAATTATTTTGTTTAGCAGAACATTTCACTGCTAATACTAATGTAGAGGGTGTAGAAAATACCCATGTTCCTTGCTTGTCAATTCTTCTAAAAATTGGATAAAATTCTTTTACAATTTCTTTTGAACAAAGTTCTGTTACCTTCTGATCATTTCCGATGTATAATGAATATTCACAGCTCTGATGTGGAGCTCGAAATATCGGAACGTCCGGTGAACAAACAGCAAACTGTGAGATTTGGCAAACAGCCAATTCGTGATGACGTAACAACATGTACGATTGACGATCCATTGACGATTGACGAAAACTGGTACTTATATTTGTAGATCATGTGGATGCACAGACCATTCTCGTGAGAATTGTAAATTTAGAGCAGTCTATTTATCTCAGATATTGTTTTCTCTATTTCACTTATAATTATAGTCAATGTTCATATTTGAGACAGTTTTCAAATTCAAAATTAAAAACCATATATGAAAAATGAAAATTTGATGATGACGATGTAGTACAAATTGTGCTCCCTAACATTAGTTTTGGTAACAATAACTACACGTTTTATATCCCTATTGTTAAAAAACAAAAAAAAAAATTTTAAATGTCTCTTGTCCCTAGTTAGAATACTTCCCCTAACTTAGGACACTGTTTTAACTTTTGTACCAAGTTAAAGTGATTGTGATTTTACTTGGGACACTGATAATCAACAAATTCCAAAAATTACTCTAATTATATTAAAGTTATTTTGACAAAAATGCTTACTTTTTTCAAATAGGAAATTTAAAATATCAGATTTCAATTCAAAACCAATTAAAATAATCTTGATGTCACTCAATTAACTACCTATACATCCACATTACAGATAACCTTACTTTCTGCTATCAACAACTATTAGTGTTTTCTAATCTTGATATGTTGTAAAGTACTATATTATTTTTCCGACTTTTCCAACTTAGTTGTAAAGTACTATATTATTTTTCCGACTGTGTACCGGAAATAACCGTTCCCTAACGGGTACTTTACACGGATTTGCGTTAGTGTGCCAGGCCTGGAATTTAAGCGTGCACCGAATTAAATACATGTCTCTTGTTTTTGACAAAGTTTGTCAAAAACAAATCAAATATTTAATAAATATTCTAGTAATAACTATATACAAAATTTAGTAAAAATCAAGTAACAATTTATTCAATGAAAATCAATAAGAATCAACCCGACAAAACTCAAATCAACCTATTTTCTAACTTAATTCTATTTCCCTTTGGAATTCGACAAAAATCAAAGACTTAATTTATGTACAATAATTCTTATGAATTAAAGAGCCTAATCGTCACCTTAATATACTAGGAACCCTTTTCCTCGACTCTCAAGACTTTCTCTAATCGTCGATCCACAAATCGAATAACTTCAAAATTGCCTTGGAACTATTTTATCCTATCAGACACCTCTCTCTCATTTGCTGCTACGAAGCTCGCCACACTTGTTGCTAACAGAAGCTTACCTCGTCCATCTTCACTTGAGGTTCGGTCTTTTTACTGTGAGGTGACATCACAATTCTGAGTGCAATCACTCCCCTCATTTACAGACTTGTTTGCTAACAATAAACTTTTTCTATTTGTCTGGCAGCCTATTTTTCAACATTACTCGCTAACCTTTTACATTATTCTTTTTGACAATTTTCGGGATGTTTTTATTCTTTAAGGTTTAGCATGGTCCTAAGTTATGCTTGTGGGGTCTCCCCCCCCCTTTTCTCGGTGCAGACTTACTTTTTTCCGCTCGGGAGCACAGGTGTTTGCGAGTTTTTCCTACAGCACTTTTCTCTCGTTGGTGAGTTGGTTTCTCTTCTATTTTTAAGTTTTAAGGTGAATGGTGAGGAAACCTTCATCCTAACAAAACATAAGCCCCCAAACAAAAATAGAATAATAAGCAAAAATAAAAGTAACTAAAAATAACGCTTGGACTTGGTTCCTTACACCATGAAAAGTCCTAAATGTCTCAAATAATACTGCTGTCCCAAATATGGACACTTGACTGTATTTATAATGAATTGTTGATAAAAATGAAATGAAAAAATAAGGAAAACAGAATATCTGAGATGATATCTTCTGAACTAGATAAAAGTCTAGTGAAATGTTTTCAATGCCAATCTGGTATACAACAGTGCAGGTTATGTAACATTTTTACTTTTGTTTCATCATTTTCTTGTGGATAGTATGTCAAAAATTATATTAAAATAGATAATCTGTTAGAAAATATAATGATTGAGACAAAAGTAAAAGTGATACTAAATACCAGTAAATAAAATTATTTAATTATTTTATGTTATTATTGGTTTTTAATAATAAAATTATGTAAACATTTAGGATGGAATAAATGAAATACAACTTGAAAGTAAAGAAACTGTTTACTGGGTATCATTTCTTGATGGATTACAAAGAGTTATTCTACTTACAGAAGATCTTGCTCTGGCTACTGCTGCACAGCAAGTACTGCATACAAATTTATTTAATGATGATGATATTTTATTCTGTATTTGACTACTTTTAAATATATTTTTTTAATCTCATTCGTAGGCTGGAGAATTAGAAAGAAGTGAATTAGAGGTTGTAATCTCTTTACAAGGTGTAGGTTTATCATTGATAGATAACACAGCACAAACAGATATTTTATATCTTTGTATATCAAGGTAAGAATTTGAACTTGAAGAAACTACAAATTATAATGTAAAATATTAAATAAATAAAAATCATATTGTTTGTAATAGAAAATATTCCAAAATAATAGCAGTTGTATAAATACTACGTACCTCCGGAACCTTTAACCGATGTGAATAAATTTAACATTACTAACGTTTTCAGACCCCTCCTGGGTCCGTCTTCAGGTAAAAATCGTCAAACTAACCATTTGTTTCGAAAGAATTTTTTTAAAACATCGAACGATAGAACGGCATCACGTGTTCCATATTCCCGAACGTAAAAGTTTTCACATCATAGCGGAGGCAATTGAAAATATTTTCCTTTTTATTTTTTATATAATTATTGTTGTAAGATCTTCGATGTTAAGCAAAAAACACATTATATGTATCCTGTCTACCCTTTCGTCCTCCTTGCTTAAGTTTACGACTCCCTTAATCTTCCTGTTACATTAGGGCTTGCCAAGCCAAAGACAGAGAGATTTCATCCCTGGAATTAATGGGTGATGAATCGTTGTATGCCCTGTATATCTCTATCTGCTCTAACCACTTGAGATGGTCTGCATATGGGGTGGTGGTGATTAACTTGGCATTTGAGAAGTCTGCTACGATCTCTGGATCAGACGCATAAGTGAATAAGGATGTGGAACATTTATTAAGTCGAATGTCATGGATGTGTTCCTTCCACCTGATCCCAACTGCACGTTTCGTTGAGCCTATGTATACTAATTCCTTGTCAAAACGGTGGTCCCTAAGTGGTACTTTATATACGCCTGGCAATCTTTCAGATTTATGGCAATCTTTACGCTTGGCAATCTTTCTGGCAATCCTTCAGATTTTCACCTGGCAATAAATCTGAGGATGAAAGAAATAATACTAAGGATTTTTGTGATAACTCAGAATATATTTGTTCTTCTTAATTGAAGTTTTTAGACTATTTACAAAAAATTAAATTTTTCAAGTCTATCTTTTAAATCCCTTATACACCACTACAGAAGTAACAGTTTTAAAAAATTGCTTTTGAAGAAAACTTCTAATAAAGAAAACACTTCTAAAACAGGTAAAAATTGGTAGAAAAAGTCCACAAAGTTAAAAAAGATCAAGTGCCAGCCTTTTCTTTTAGGTTCTGACACTTTTTTTACATTAAAACCATTTTTATACCAATTTTTACCTGTTTTAGAAGTGTTTTCTTCATTAGAAGTTTTCTTCAAAAGCAATTTTTTAAAACTGTTACTTCTGTAGTGGTGTATAAGGGATTTAAAAGATAGACTCGAAAACTTTAATTTTTTGTAAATAGTCTAAAAACTTCAATTAAGAATACTAAGGATATAGTTAAAATTTCTCTTGCTTCGTTATATGAGAGAAACTTAGTTCTTAAGGGATTCTGGAAGGTAAAGCCGTGTTTGTCGAAAAGGTTCAAGGAGAATATTATTTTGACGGCTGACTTATGTAAACGGTCTAGGGTTAGGAGACGAAAACTAGTTGCAAGGATAGTACAGGAGAAGTCCAATGGCCAAAAAATCATAGTTAGAGATGACTAATATATTAAGGATGGTGCAATGTTTACTTACGATATATATACAAATGAAATTATTCAAATGGACCGATTTTTATAAGAAACCAGAGGTCTGGCGCAGGTAAGCAGCCGGGGTTCACAGATGATACTGAGGAGAAGATAGAAGAGCTGGGAAATAATAACTCTGTGACTCGGTTAAGTAATAACCTGAACTTGATACATTTGTCTTCCCAGGGATTGAATAGTTGTGATTTAGCTGAAAATGTGCACATCACCTTCTGGAATATTCAAGGTATGGTTAATAAAGTTAAAGACCGATCTATTCAGTGATACTTATTGTCAAATGATGTTGGTATCTCCGAGACATGGTAGGTTGACTCTGGTTTTTTGGAGTATGCAGGTCTTCAGGATGTGTTTTGGATATCTCATAGTGTGGCACTCAAGGGGCACAGATTTGGTAGACCAGCAGACAGTCTTTTGTTGTTAATTAAGAGATCTTTAGAAATTATGAGGTATGTTCAGGAGAAACCTTGGTATATTACTGCCTTAGTTGAACTCAACCCTAAATTTCATAAACTGTGGAGAACTAGATTCTTAGGAATTGTAGTGGTATATATTAATCCATCTGCAAATTTTAGTATAAATATTGATGAATTACAAGTAGTTATTAATCATGGAAGTAATATTACAGACTGCTGGATCTTGGGAGAGACTTTAATGCCTGTATTGGCGAAAAATTAGATACAGAATATCAAGGAGAAAATTTGGATATTGCCAATGTTAGAAGATCCAAGGATAAAGTGATTAACTCAGCAGGAGGATGTTTGTTGGATTTTTCACAGAATAACAATTTAATCATTCTAAATGGAAGAATAACTGGGGATGCTCCAGGAGAATACATGTTAATGAGCCACAGGAGAAAATCTGTTATTGACTATATTCTAGTTAATGAAGATATGATATATTACTGCCAGTCAATGTCAGTGCTAGACTATGATCAGTCTGACCACTTTCCAATATGGTTAACCCTATTGGGTTATACAAGAGAAATAAAATCCTCACATTTTGGCAGACAGAAGCAATTAAGATTGGATAAAACAAGAAGTTTAAGATTTAATTTACAGAGTTTAAATAGAGAAATCTTAGATAGATTTCAAGAAGTACTAAATCAATAAGATAAGCTAAGTCCACTGGTTAATTATGAAAATTTTATTGGGCTTCTCAATACGTACTGTGCTAAAGTTTGCAACAAAGGTTTGACGCGAAGGTTTATACAAAGTTGGTACGATAATAGTTGCTATTATCTAAAGAAGAAAAAACAGCAAAGTTTGAGGCAGTTTAGAAAATCTAATAAGGAAATTGACTGGAAGAGTTATATTAACAACAAAAGAATTTATAATCAGTTGATTAAAGCTAAAAGAAGAAGATATTATTCAAACTTAAATAAATATTTAATTGAAACTAAAGATTCCAAAAAATTTTGGGACGTGATCAGTAGTTTTCGACGACCTGCTGATCATTGGAAAAGGCCCATTAATATACCAATAGATGAATGGAATAAATTTTTTGATAATTTTTCAACTAGATATAAGGAGAAATTGGCTGACACTAGAGTGGAAAAACTGGAAGAATCTGGGTTGGCACCAATGGAAGAGATCTTTAATATTAAAGAACTTCAATTATGTATCAAGAGGCTCAAAAGTAAATCAGCCCCGGGATATGACGGATTTCCTAATAAAATACTAAAACTTTTTCCTATGTCAATTTTAAAATATATTATCAGGCAGTATAATAGATTTTATGTAACAGGTGTAATTCCTAAGTCGTGGAACCAAGTGATATTTCGAATGGTGTACAAGAAAGGAGACAGGGCCAGTCCAGCAAATTATCACCCGATAGCTTTACTTTTGACATTTCGCAAACTGTTTACTGCTATGATAGCGAAAAGATTTATTGAATGGATTAAAGATGAGAATCTGATTAATCCAACCCAATATGCTTTTATATCAGATGGAGGTACTCAGTTAATCTTGTTTGTCTTGTTGGCCACTGTTCAGTTGCAATTAAACAAAAAAAGACATAAAGTTTATGCTCTGTTTATTGATCTTGAAAAGGCATACGACTCTGTGAATGTTCAATCCTTACAAAATAAAATGTTACAACATAAAGCTGATAAATATCTGGTTAAATTGATAGGTCTTTTGTTTGGCCATTATGAGATAATCTGTAGATTTAATGGAGATCAGGGTTGTCTTCATTTGATAGAACGAGGTTTGCTACAAGGAGATGCTTGGTCGCCTTATTTATTTAATTTTTATATCTATGATATTAATGATATTTTCAATAATGAAGATGATGGATTCCTGATTGGTAATATAGTGATTCACTCTATTTCGTATGCCGACGATATTGTTATTATAGCACCGACGGCGGTTGCCTTGAGAAGAAAGATACGTTTATTAACTACGTACTTTTCTCAATTGGATTTGAATATTAATCCTAAGAAATCTCACATAATGATATTTAGGAATGGAACAAGGTTGCCTAAGAAGCATATGTCATTATTTATTAACAATACGGAAATTAGTATAGTCAATGAAACAAAGTTTCTAGGAGTGGCTTTTTCACCATTACTTTCCTTTGAGAGCCAAATTAAAAATATGATGACTAAATGTAATGGGTTAATCCAAGGTGTTGCGAAGTTGTTCTCTAGGACTGGCTTGGGTTTTATCCAAACGCAGTTTAAGTTATTTCAGTCCTTGGTTTTAACTCAGTAAGCTATGCTTCTCCTATATGGTGTCTCTTCAATGTTCAAAAATTGGACACTATCCAAAGTAAATTTATACGTAGATAGTTTTGGTTAGATTATAAAACTCCGTGTAGTATACTAAGATTGGAGATAATAGATTTAGTCTTATGGCACTCTTCGTTAAAAGATGTATAAAGTTGTTAATTAAGGTAAGAGATGGTGGAGAACTTACATTTAACCTTTTAAACCAACTATACAAAAATTCTATTAAAAAATTTTCTAAAAGGAACTGGATTTCAAATTTGTCTAAAATAATTAATGGTTATGGCAGTTTGATCGAACCATTTATATTTTCGCTGGAATTTGGAGAAGAAAGTTATCAGCAACTAATCCGGAATGTACTAGAAATTTCACTATCACGAGATATAGATGATACTCGTTTACGAATTTCATTGAATCATTATAGTTCAATATTATTATATCCAAGTAATAATAGCTACATATTTTTGAGAGCACCATTTTGTGTGAAGAGACTTTTTATACAACTTTGACTTAATCCTAGTACACTGGTGATAGACAACAAAGTGTATATATACGAGAATAATCTATGCCCAAGATGTCATATGCCATTTTCTAAATTTCACCTGATTTGTGAATGTGAGAAGAGCCTAGAGTTGAGACAGAGATATGATCTTGTAGACTTTAGCAGATGTGAATCGGTGGAAGCAATGTATGGGATGTTCCATCGTGCAACCCAAAAAAATGTTTTCAATTTATATAATTATGTTGAGAAGTTTTTTTATGTTTAAGTGTTTTTTGAAACTGTACTGAGTATAAAGACAAGGAGTAGAACTCCCATTGTAACAGGCATTTGTCTTCTACTAATAAATTTTGACTTAATAATATACAATACTTTCTATAACATACTGTACTGTACATATACAGTAATATCCCGACTTACACGAACCCGGAGTTACGCGATTTTCAAATCTCGTTGATTCGTCTTTTGTTTGAGCGCCACGCAACCCTTGATTACTCACTCCCCCCACACTATTGTTCAGCTTACATGTTCGGATGTGTCGCGTGGAATCAACACATAGCTACAATTTATTTTGTGTTATTTATTTCTGTGTTTGTTATATCTATGGAGACTCGAGAGACTCTACTATGCCATCCAAACGAAGTAGAACTAATTCTTCTGCATCAAACAAGAAAAGAAAAACTTTATCTTTGGAATGTAAAGTTAACATTGGGTATGTTCGTAAAGTCGAACGAGTTAAGCGAGAATAAAGTTATCGTTATTCCTATTTCGTTAGACTTTTCGAACGATTCGTTACTAACGCGTTTAACTCGTTTGGCTTTATGAATGTACCCATTATTAAAGACTTCAATACAAAAATGAAAATTTGTGAATTGGCAAAGAAGATTGATATATCGGAATTGTTGGTCAGAACAATTATAAAAGGCAAAGAAAAAATTCTCGAAGCTGTGAAAAATGCTCAATCTTTAAATTGAAGCATCATTCGTAAACATCACAGTATTATCGCTGAGATGGAAACAATGTTAAAATTATGGCGTAATAACCAAGTAAATGTGAAAAATTGTAAAATAATATAGGCCTAATTTGTTATACATATGTATTATCTAAGATTTTATTAAACATTTTTTTCTAAATTATTGTTTTATTTAGTCTCCGGCCTCAATTAAAAATTATTTGTATGTATTTATATGCGAAATTATACCTCGACTTACGCTGTTACCGCTCGGTCCCACCTATCGCATAAGTTTGGGGTATTACTGTACATAAAAAATTGCATTAAGAAATATATAAAAGTTATAAAAGTACATTTCAATATAAAAAAAATTATGTTATAAAGAAATTGTCTTGCCAATCAAACACTTTTTAAACTTTTGACTCTTTAATAGAGACCCAACATTTAAATTCAATGTTTAGGGCATTTGGTCATTTTATATTCACATTGCATCTGGAGAGGACTGGTTTTTGGTTACTCTGACAAAAGATGTTTAATTATTTTTATTCATTTATTATAATTAAAAATTATTCTTTAAATAAGATTTATATGCATGATCCTATTTTCTATGAGTAATTGTAATTAAAAAAATCTGTTTATTACCTTTTCTTTATAGGTCAGTTTAAATATTTTAAACAATATTACATCCACAACACACCGTAACTTCTAAAACTTACTTCCAACATAAACCAAAAACGGTGCTTAAATCAACTTTTTGTTAGTGAGATGCAAAAGTTGATTTAAGCACCATTTATGTTGGAAGTAAGTTTTAAATGTTTTGATAAATGTTTTTGGATATTGTTTATATTCATCTTCAGATTGAATGTAAAAGAAAAATATTTCAGATTGGAACACAAAGAAAAAATTTATAACGTATTTTAAATTTCTTTTTTGCACTTGCATGTTAGTGTCCCTGTTATATAATTACATTTTTTTACTCTTTTAACATTCTTCACTTTGATAATAGATCTAGGTTTACAACTACGTTTTATTATAAGAATCTCAGCAGAAGAGCTAACCATCTGTACTTCCATATACAAGAATCTTAATTTAAATATCAAAATTTTAATTAAAATTTAAGTCAACCTTTCTTTAAATATTTTCAGAAACTAGTCAGTTAATATCTAATATAATATTGCATCTCTGTCGCTATACTATATCAACAATGTTCAAATTCAAATTTTTTAGAGCAATCTGTTAAATTTATAATAACCATTAATTTATTCTCAAAAATTATTATAAATTTAATGGTTACTATTAAATTTATGATAATTTGTGTGTTTTAATTCAATTACATTGCTATATAATGTAAGTGGCCCAGTTTAAAAATGATGAGTTTTATTTCTTTTCCTGTTATTTTTGTCAAATTAAAACTAGTTTATATAATGTTGTTTATAAAATATTAAATGACAAATAATTTTTCTGTATTGAAGCAATTTATAGTTCTTTTACTGTATATTTTCCATTGTATTTTATATGATTTAGATAAAATTACTTTTTTTCTAGCTCTGGTATTTTGTGGGAAGCAAAGAAATTAAAAGGTTCCAGATACAAAGCACTGAGTATAAAGGAATGTAATTCTATTGAACAAGCTTATCAAAGATACCAAATGGAAAAGAAAATTGGAAAAAAACCAAAACCTCGGTGGCATCTTGAGGGAAAACTTGAAGTATAATTTTTACTAGTTTTTAATACATTTTTAAACTTAAAGTAATGTTAATGATTAATTATTAAAATAGTTTAACTCTTTACAACTCCTGTTTTAGATGACTTAAAATGATTATTTTCATCAAGAATTCCATAATATTTATGTAATTAAACACTTCTGAAGACAGTAGCTAAAAATAATTTAAGAAAACTTTTACTTATCATAAATATAAGATGCTGATTCTGAAGATAAAATTGAAATTACTTAACAAAGATTATTGATTCCTTTAATTTTAATAAATAAAATTTTGATTATTCTACACATATATATGAATTTATACGTAGGTTAAATTTTACAGATGAGACTAATACAGTAGAGTGTCATTTATCCGAAACGTCAGTTATCCGAAAGAATTCCAGTTGGCAAATTAAAATTTTCGCTAGTGATGTGGTGCTGCAATCTTTGGCTATATCTTGGGCTGCTCCAATATCTTCTTTGTTGATGTGTGTGTTTTAGCTGGCATCACTGGCACTTTTGTGTGGTGTTTTTCTGAGGACTGTGTCATGCTGAATCGAACGTTTTTGTTTTTATATTTTTCAATATATTTATTTTGTTTGTAAAAAATAAAAAAATAATTTTTAATGATACAATAGCCACGATTATTATTTTAAAAAGTTTACATTAGGCTTAACATCGATGAAAATTCAATGCAAAGCGACACGCAATGGAGAAAAATTTCAGCACGGGATAGGTTAATATATTTTTTCGTACATAATCAATTATCTGAACAACCCCAGTCCCCAATTGATTCGGATAAACGACGCTCTACTGTATATCATAGAAATAAGAATTAGGATATAAACTATATATATATATATATATTATTGCAGTGATATTACTGAAATCTATTTTGTGGAAGAAAATTAAAAATATCAATAACTGCTTTTTAAATAGGTTGATTTTGGAAATGAGAAAGAGATTATGATGTGTAAACCTGTTAATCGTGTTATACGTCGATCTTTTCAAACTGGGTTTTGGTTACAATATAAAACATCACCCCATCAATTACAACTGCATGCAAAAATTAACAGAATCCAGGTATACATTTTTGATAGATTAAAATTATTAAAAATAAAGTGAATTAAAATATTTTAAAATAAAATTTATGTTGCTTTTATAAAATAAATTCAAATTCTAACTGTTAAGAAGTGGTATGAATTTTACATTCTTATTTACAAAATAATTACCACATTTTAGTTTTTAAATATATAAAAAGTTTAAAAAAATAATTATTATTTGCGTCTTTAACGTATTAAATAAAATTTTAAAATTTAATAGTGATTGATACTTGTGCATTTGCATGCTACACACATACATAGAAATATCAGTCACTATTAAATTTTCAAATTATAACTATACAGCAAGTTCTCACTTAACATTGTTTTGTTATAATGTTGTTGAAGAAAGATACATCTATAATCATTTAAATTATTGTTGTTGAAATTTTTTTATAATACAGTTGACTCCACCAGAATAAATTCTCTAGATTGGAGTATAAGTACACAGCACAAAACACTTTAAAGAATCATAAATAACTCTAGTAAATAATCATGAACAGAAGGACTAATGTTTTCAATCCTTTCTATAGATTATCTTCAGATCAAAGGTTTCTGAATTGGCATGCTCTTCAAACATTGTTGCAATCAATGTATTTTGAATATTGTTGCATTTTCAAATACATTTAATTTCTCAAAAGCATTTATAAATTAAAATTTGATGTGATGTATCAATATCACAAGTATTTGACAGCATCATCTATATTCAGCGAGAATATTCTTGAATATCTTAATATTACAGATTGCTATCTAAGTAGTCTGCAATATTTTCTTGGATATAATTAAACATTTATATAATAAATTTTTGTTCGTTTTTTTATGAATGTTGAATTTTGATAAAATTATATTTGAAATATTTGTCAAGACTACTGTACTTTTGTTCTAGTCATTCCTATGTTATATCTTTGTAATATCATGGGAGACATGCATTAGAAAAAGGAAACCTACCAGATGACTTTTCACACAAAAGTACCAAATTTTTCCTGGTTCATGCATAATCTTCTTTTGATTTGTTCATCTGATCTTGGGCATTTAATTGACACATAACTAAGTGGTGTATTGATATTTTTGGTCATTTGGAATCTGATGAGGCTTGAACCTTTCTGCAAAATGTACCAATGGAATTTCCATATATTCCAAGAATTATTATAGTTGCCATTCTGTTGGGTTTGTTATGATTTTGAGCAGAGGTAATCCACTGTAACACAAAATCCAACTAGGTAGAATTAATTTATGGAAATTCTGGACCCTCGTATAAATATTTTCCTTATCATTACTGTTTATTTCCATTATTTTAAAATATCTTCAAAGTATTGAGTCAAGTCATATAGTAAAAATGTTATGATTTAAAAGGTGAGTTCATATTTAGTTATCTGAATATAAATTTTGAACTCACCTCTTTAATCGTAAATATTCACTACTATGGTTAAAATATGAATTTAAAATGATTTTGTCTATTTTATTTCAGATTGACAACCAATTAAGAGACTGTGTTTTTCCTGTGGTCATAGCACCTGTACCACCACCAAAATCAGTGGTAGCAGATAATGGTAATTATACTAAAAATTTATATAAATTTTAATAAAATGAAACTAACTAGAAAAAATTTTGAATTTAAACAATTAGCTGAAAAATATTTTTATACTAATCTTAATTTATGTTGAAAGATAATTAAAAAATCATAGCATCAACTTATTACTCCAATATACAAAAGATGACACATAATTTGGAAAATAGAGTGGTGAAATAAGGAACAGATTACTCCTAATACACATATTGCAATGTAGACCAAAACAAATGAGCTTCTAGAACAAATTATGTTCATTCTAGCATACTCCACTATATTTTAAAGTTTTGTTGTTTCTTGTTAGTTTCATTTTATTCAGTTTTTTCTATGTTCTCATTTTCCTAGGCCCCAGAAACAATTCTCTGCATTAGTGCTTCTGTCTTGTCATTGTGAAGCTCTACTACCTCCTTTCTTTGGTCTTCCACTAACTTCTTCACATCATCATCATTGATTTCCAGGCCATGGAACTGCCCAGACATACAATTTCCTGAACATACTCTTCCTCCATTTGTTGAAAGTTTTCAAAGTTTCTTGGAGCCACAATGATTTCTAACAGAATTCATCATCTAACAGAAATTTTCTTCCAAGAAACCATAAATAACAAAACAACCTCCACCATATTGAAGTGACTCTTCAAAAGTCCTTCAGTTGCATCACTAAAAGAAGTAGCCTCAAACATTTTCTAAACAGTGCCTTAGTGTAATTTTATAGTTTTCAATCACTTGCTGGTTCTTACACTAGAGGATGTGTTGTATTCAATGGCATGCTATAGATTGATACTCATGCCAAATATTGTATAGTAGGACGGAGAGTTCACTAAGTTTGGCGTTATAAGTGCTTTTTATTGCAAGTAATTTCGATGAATTTATAATCGTCATCATGTCAAGCAAATAAAGATTTTTAAAAAGATCGAACAGAAATATTTTGAGGAATTTCTGTTCAATTTTTTTCAAATCTTTATTTGCCTGACGACAATGATTATAAATTCATCGAAAGTTACTTGCAATAAAAAGCATTCATAATGCCGAACTCAGTGAACTCTCCGTCCTACTATTTAGTGGCAAAAGTGAATTATCTGATAATTCTTCCATTAAATTAGGAGAGTAGGTAGAAACATTGTTCATAACCAAAAGAGTCTTCAATGGAAGATCCTTCTCCCTAAGATAGTCACACAGTAGGGCCAAACACCTTAGTCATTCAGGCTTAGAAAAGATTTCTGGTTGGATGCAACATAACTCCAGGGTGGAATTTTTGTTTTTAAAAGCTCTGGGGTTTTCTGAATGGTACACAAGCAGTGGTTTCATCTTGCAGTCTCTTGACATGTTGACACAAATGAGCAATGTATGCTGGTATTTTGTTGGCTTATGGCCTGACAAAATGGTCTGCTCCTTTTTTATTGTATGTTCTGCATGGAATTCTCATCCAGAAAAGGCTGATTTTGTCACAGTTAAACCTGCTGGGAAACAACTTTCCTCAATTATTTTCTTAAATTTCTCACCTGTTTCTTAGTAGCATCCTTATCTGCACTAACAGCCTCACCATGTCTCACAACACCTTTTTCAAAATTTCCAAATTTTCAAAAAAATTCAGTCCTTTTTCAAAATTTGGTAAATACCATACCTTGGTTAAAAAAATTCTTTAAAGGACCATTGCTTGTATTATATGTCTTAGTCCCAAGTTCTTCAACAAGGTTAAACTTTGTAATAAGGCCAAACAATTGTTTGGCCTTATTACAAATAGTTGCATCACTGACACTATCACCTGCCTTTCGTTTTTTCTTTAATCCAAACTAATAGAATAGTTTCCATCTGTTCTATGATATTGCAATATAAACTGTATAATTTACAGATTTCCTTCACAACCTGTACACTTTTTATTTCTTCTTTTTTTTTAAATCATACTGATTGTTGATTTGGCCATACCATAATCATCACTTAGGTCTACACTTTTCCACTTTCTCATCTCTTAATGTCTAAGTGAATTAGCTTTTTCACTGTGTTTTGCTGTCTCATTATAGCAGAATAATTTATAAAATATATTTTTATTTCTAAAGATGCAAATAAACAGTTATTTGAACCTTGCAAACTACAATAAAGACAATGACTAATGCTCCGATCAAAGCAGACAAACCTTAATATGTCATACACATGAGTATACTATGTTGGCCAATAGTATTCCTTCATGTTCATTGTAACATTTTGATTTTGTAGATGATAACTGTTTATTGTAGCATCATTTGTTTGAGCATACCTAACTGTAGGAAAATGGCAAATTATAATGCAAGATTTATAGTTATCAAAAAACAGAAATAAATGCTCTTTTTTTAATTGAAATGAAACAGAGTGAGGATGTCTGAAAACCTGTCACAAAGGATTGATTAAGAATAAGTATTTTTAATTTTGTCATCCATGAAAAATTTTCTACAGTAAAAATGAGTAACTAATTTAAAAATAAAATGGAAACCCTAAAGTTGCCTATCTTCATCAGACAAAATTAATGGAGAGAGGAAAGTTAGATAATGGAAATAAGGACAGAAAATAGTTTTTAGTATAGTTAGAAAGGAGGATAGGATGAAAGAAGAGGAAGAAAAGGATTTGAAATTTATAAATACAGTAGAGCGTCGATTTTCCGAAAGTCAATCATCCGAAACGTCAATCATCCAAAAAAATTCCAGTCGGCAAATTTAAATTTTCGCCAGTGCTGTGGCGCTTCAATCTTTGGCTATGTCTTGGGCTACTCAAATATTTTACATTTTTGATACTAAATTAACATCTGAAGTATAATTTTTTATTGTTTTTATATTTTTCAATATATTTATTTTGTTTGTACAAAATAAAAAAATAATTTTTAATGATACAATAGTCTTCGTTAGGCTTAACATCAACGAAAATTCAACGCGAAGTGACACGCAACGGAGAAAAATTTCAACATCAGATACATTAAACTATTTTTTCGTACATAAATCGGTTATCCGAAATATCAGTTATACGAACAACCCCAGTCCCCAATTGATTCGGAAAATCGACGCTCTACTGTAATTATAATTATACATCTTTATAAAGTTTACAGTTTTCTGTTGTGATTGTTGAAGATAAGACTATTACAGTAGACCCCCTTATAATGCGGGTTCCTATAACGTAGATTCCTATAACGAGGCGAAAAATTTGCAACAGTATTCGTATAAAGACACTAAAAGGAATGCGTAAAATGCGGTAAAACGTCATCGCAAACTCGTCATCGCGGATGAGTAGCCGAACTACTTTCCGCCGTCTAGCGCCACGCTACGGAGAGTTTAGGCGAGTAAGTTGAGTTTACTATCGTTTGTACAGTATGTAAATTAGGTAAAGTCTAATACAGTACTGTAATTTTATACATTTCTTGTGAAAGAAACAATTCTTATTCAACGGCCATAAAAATTATTTATATTAATGATGTCTCCAAAGTTCAACAAAGTTTTCACAGAAAAATAACTTATCAGAAATCGCGGCCGCCGTTTGGTACGCTGCTTTGCGACGAAAACAAGCTTAAGCAATGGCGACGTTGAACGGTGCACACTCGGTAAGTAATCCTACAATTTTTTGTTTATAGCATAGTTTATATGGATAATTCCCAAAANTTATGTTATAAAGAAATTGTCTTGCCAATCAAACACTTTTTAAACTTTTGACTCTTTAATAGAGACCCAACATTTAAATTCAATGTTTAGGGCATTTGGTCATTTTATATTCACATTGCATCTGGAGAGGACTGGTTTTTGGTTACTCTGACAAAAGATGTTTAATTATTTTTATTCATTTATTATAATTAAAAATTATTCTTTAAATAAGATTTATATGCATGATCCTATTTTCTATGAGTAATTGTAATTAAAAAAATCTGTTTATTACCTTTTCTTTATAGGTCAGTTTAAATATTTTAAACAATATTACATCCACAACACACCGTAACTTCTAAAACTTACTTCCAACATAAACCAAAAACGGTGCTTAAATCAACTTTTTGTTAGTGAGACGCAAAAGTTGATTTAAGCACCATTTATGTTGGAAGTAAGTTTTAAATGTTTTGATAAATGTTTTTGGATATTGTTTATATTCATCTTCAGATTGAATGTAAAAGAAAAATATTTCAGATTGGAACACAAAGAAAAAATTTATAACGTATTTTAAATTTCTTTTTTGCACTTGCATGTTAGTGTCCCTGTTATATAATTACATTTTTTTACTCTTTTAACATTCTTCACTTTGATAATAGATCTAGGTTTACAACTACGTTTTATTATAAGAATCTCAGCAGAAGAGCTAACCATCTGTACTTCCATATACAAGAATCTTAATTTANTCCTACAATTTTTTGTTTATAGCATAGTTTATATGGATTATTCCCAAAAAATTATATGTATTTTGGAAATGTTAAGTCGAATTAGTCTAGAATCGATTAATTTTATGGAAGAAAACCTTTCAAACAGCCGTAGTCCATAAACTTCACAGGTGTCAGGCTGCGATTGGCTCATGTATTTAAGGATTTCTACAATGCGAAATTCGTATAACGAGGAACGTATCTCCCCATTATTGGGGGGTCTACTGTAATTAAATATTGTTATATACAATATTGATTGTATTGTGACTTTAATGCAGTTAGTTAATGTTTGTATATGTATTTGTCAACTGTCATTTTCCTTTTCTTGTTTCTGTATTATTCTCTTCTCTTTCACTGAAATTAGAATACAGAAATTTATTTTGTAAATGAAATATTTCAATAAATCTACTGTAAAAAAAAATAAATAAAATAAAATAAAAAAATATGAATGGTAGTTTCTTTCCAATACATAAATTCCTAATTGAAGTCTATAAATAGAATGTGATTAGTAAACCAAAATTTTTGAAAAACCAAAAACAACAGCATTTATAGAACTCTTGAAATTTGAACTTTTGAATCAATACAGCATTTTTTAACATAATATGTACATATGACATTACTACATAAATTAAATAATATACAATTAGGGTTTCTCATTTCCTGGTCTTTTGCTTGTTCCTGGATTCAGGGATAAAAGTGAACTGTTTCCCAGATCCCGGGAAATCCTGGGACAAAATTAATTATTTTTAAGATATACAAATTATCATGAAATCAAATGATATAATTATTTTTTGTTTTTTAAAGTAATTTAATACATTCTGTAACCTCCAAAATCTTATTAATAATGCTGTGTAAGATATATATTAAAAATTACCTTTGAATTATGTAGAAATTTTCACAAATAGAAAAAATTTATTAAAGTTTGCTGGAAACTGCATACAACAACAACAAAAAAATGCTTTGAATTGAGTTAAAAATTTAAAAAAATGAACTTAGATCAAACTTCTAACTTAGAAGGTAATTTTTGTTTTTTAAATAAAATATAGTACAAAATATTGTAAACTTTTATAAGATTTTAAAAAGCAAAGATGGTCAATACTCTGATCACTCAATCTGATTCTTATTTTAGTAATGAAAAGTCTTGCTATCGAGAATGCCTTTTCCAATTTAATTGATGTGATTGGAATCGTTTAATGCATTTAAGAGGTGACAAATATTATGTGTTTTTCACCTGTATCCTGAAAGATTTCTAGTTCATTTTCGAGATTGTAGTACTTCTTTTGCTCTCTAGTATTATTTGATTTGTCTACCTTGACTGCTTTAATAGAAACATCATAGCCCAATAATTCGGCAGTTCATTTGTCTTTAATAATCAGGTTATGAAGAAAAACTTCATACTTGCAGACTTCGTACTTGTTTATATCCTTGCCCAATTTGGCATTACGCAGTTATTGAAGCTACTGGACATGGTTAAAAATTAAGACAGCATAAGCACAATTATTCCAGATATTACAGGTAAAGAATTTTGAGAGTCCTGACACAAATAAGCTACGTATTGATTATTGACCATTTGTGACATGCCATAATGAGCAAAAATTAAAAAATAATCTAGTAAGTAGGTTTAAAATTAATAAATTAATTTTTATAATTTAATAAAAAAAATAAATTAAAATAAATAAAATTAATAAAAAAGAATACAAATGTATTCTGACAGTTTGTGAATTAATTATACTTTCTATTTGCAAAATTTCCTCAACCTTAACACAAAATAAGAAAAAAAGGAACTTTTAAGAATTTTACAGGATTTCCCAGGATAAGAAAAATTTCCCAGGCTATTTCCAGGATTAAAAACACAACCGGGATCCCGTTTGAGAAACCCTATATACAATGCAAAGAAATAAAACATACCAGTATTCCTGAAAAGATGAACACCAGAAGAAAGAACTTCATAACCTAAAGAACATTGCATCAGCTTTTTGTTTTCCATTAAACCTTGTAAAGAATTTAATGAATAGAGTAAGATGAAAAGTTTATGAACCATCCTTGGATATAATTGTTGTGAGAGCAAATTTTCCTGTTTAGCAAATTGTTCCACCAGTCCCAATACATTGAAAATTTTCACTTTCCACATTTTCTAGCGTGAACCAATTTTCTAAGTGAATAAAAATGGTTTTTGATTTTTTTTTATTCATTTCCACTATCCACTCTCAATATGAGCTAATCTTTAAAATGGCTTTATTCTTTCACATGGGCATGAGACAACTGAAACAGATTTTAAAAGAAACAAACAAAACTTGGCTGAATTTAAAAAAAAAATATGATTTAATTTTAGACTGAATTTATTTTTCTTTTTATGTGTTGTTCAAATGTATTATATGTATAGTAAATTGAAACTGTTTTTTTGTTAAGAATTACATATATAGGTTCAGTTATACAGTGTTAATTTGTGATGACTATATTTTCTCTGAAAACAATTTTCAAAATTCAGTTGTATGTTTTCCTCACTTATATATTTTTCTCTATTTCTTTGAAAAGTGTGTAAACAAGGTTCAACTGTATCTTTTAATGTTCTAACTATTTGGTAATTTAGTTTAATACAGTAAAATATTTTCTTTAGATGTATTAAAAACATTAAATGAAATAAATAAGTTAAAAATAATCATATAAAATATATGTTTAAATTACATTTGTAATGAAAAAATCAACAATGTTATGTAAATTTTAAATAAAATATAATTAATTTCATATTTAATAAAAATTGAATGATAGTTACTCAGCAATTTTTAAAATTTTTCGAAATATACAAAATTACAAATTTCAAAAACTGAGAAATTATTCAAGTTTTCAAAAAAGAATTTGCATAACTAAAACAGTTTGCTATAGAAAATTAAGTTTGATATTGAAATTTCAGTTTACTTCAGTTAAATGTTTTTCTATTTTAAAAAAATCAAATACAATTTATATTTTGTTTACATAATTAAAATTTCTTAGCATTTGTTAAAGTCATAGTAAACATACTATTAAAAAAATCAAAATGTTATGTTACTATATATTAAATATTAACAATATTTTCTTTAATTGAAATTTTTTAGCACCAAAACCATTTACTGAAGCAAGTATAATCATTCAAAAGACAGAATATACATCTGTAAAACAATTCAAGTATGTATTTCTAAATGTGTAAATTTTAATTATTTTGTTTTTAATGAAAATTCCAATTTTTACATTATGTAATGATTAGTTTGTATAGATGATGATGAAAATATATATGTGAATTACAATTTAATTATCTTTATTTGCAATCTATGATTCAAAGTCACTCAAAAATTAGTGATCAAAAATTCATTTTATTTTATATACTTGAATGCTTATTAATTCACTTTGACTCATGATTGTGGACTGTGTAATACAGAATGTTTTTTTTAACATATTTGATTTAATTACATGTAATTACATATAAATACATCTTAGTACTTTTTTTATTATTTTAGTTTGTAATTCACAGTTTATAACAAATGTAAATCAGTTGCATGCCGTCATTGGAAGCTATGGAAGTGCCGCTTTCCTTGTATTTTCTAAAATATAAACACATATTGCACAATTATTTTCATATTTGAACATACTTTGAATTACTTAAAATTAATCTTTTTTTATAACCGCATTATGTATTTTATTACAGATTTCATATAGAAATCTGTAATAAAATATGAAATCTGTAATAAAAACATAATGCAATATATTCTAATAATAATAATAACAAAATATATATGAAAAACAACGATAAGATCGCTATTGTATATTCGGATCTAAATTCATGTACAGATATTCCCAATGGAAGCACTATATTGTCAGCTTCCAGGGTGAAAATATTTGAATGGTGTAAAGCAGCCAATTTACAGGCATTGGTGCTTGTGCTTTACAGAGCACCAACCTCTGGCAGTTTAGCTGGTGGATGTTACACACCATAATGTTTCCAATGAGTCTATCCCTTAGCCATTGGTAGGCAACTACAGTAGAGCGTCGATTATCCGAATCAATTGGGGACTGGGGTTGTTCAGAAAATCGATATTTCGGATAACCGATTATGTACGAAAAAATATATTAATTTATCCCATGTTAAAATTTTTCTTTGTTGTGTGTGCTTCGCGTTGAATTTTCGTCAATGTTAAGCCTAACGAAGACTATTGTATCGTTAAAAATTATTTTTTTATTTTGTACAAACAAAATAAATATATTGAAAAATATAAAAACAATAAAAAATTATACTTCAGAAGTTAATTTAGTATCAAAAACGTAAAATATTTGAGTAGCCGAAGA